GTTTTTTGAGTCATTGAACTTGTCAGCCCTTTTCTCCGCTTAAAAGATAATAATTTAAAAAAAAGGACTCTGTACTGCACTGCATCTTGAGATGCTCTTTCAAACAAAAAAAAATTTAAATATATTGAATGAGCTTTGACAGAGAAAAATGGATTGCCAAATGAGCTATTTTTGACCCTTGCTTGGTTCATATCTCCGTCAAACATCAGGGTATCGAGCTGAAAATTTTACCACAGCCTCCACACATCAGCCCCAACATATGCTCCAAATTTCAGCCCATTTGAACGTACCTGGGCTGAGATCGATTTTTGAGGGGGGGGGGGGGGTGGCCTTAAAACTTACATTCATTATATTGTTCTTCGAAAAGATATAATAGAAGTTTTACAAAATTATTCCTCTTAATATAAAAATAATCAATATTACCTTAAACCATTAAATAATTGTTTTGATTTTTCAAGTAAATGACTAAATTCTTGTACAATTTTATCTTCATATTCTTGATCATTATTTTCCTTTGAATATTCATGATTACCTGATGAGGCTATTTTATCAGTTGAAGTTAAACTTATTGCTGCCATATTATCATTATGAATATGTATATACTTTTCTTTGCACAACAACAACAAAAAAATAAAATAAAATCTACAAAACAAACAGATCTTACTAAATAAAAATTCACATTATGTTATTTAAAAACAAAAAACAGAAATTAGTATTCAAATGGACGGAAAATTTCGACATAAATTAAAACACATTCTCTTGATTACATATCACAATTAAACAGACGAAATATTTATGCAAACATTTGCATACTAGCAAAATTATAAAATTTATCAAGTTGTATACGAGCATCAGTTGATGATTGACTGATGAAATCTGAAAAGAAAATTTCATTTTTATTTAGAAAACAAAAAATTTACTTTCGTTTTGAAAACTTACGAGGTAAATTTTGATATTTTGTTGCTAATAAATTATTAAGACATTGTTGACAAATCGATATACAATTTTCACCAGCAAATTCAAGTCCAATAACAGGACCTTTAGTAACTAATGGTGTATATGTACGATTACCCCCAAACATTCGTTCAGCACTTGTTTCATCAATTTTATATGATTTACTTTGTACGAGTACAATCTATTCAAAAAAAGAAGATCGAATACAATATTTATGTTAATAGATAAAATCAAATAAAAAAAAAAAAAGAACAAACTTCAGATTGTTTTGTCATTGCAATTAATGCACGAGCACAAGCATCAGCATTTGAATCTTGAAAAAATATTACCAAACAACGCTAGAATAAAACAAAAAAAGAGAATATTTTTACAATTAGATCGTTTAGTTTATCTTAAAAAAATTTTGTAATAGAACTTTTCAATGTCTTATACAAGGTGAAAAATCCCATAGAGTCAGATATTTCATATAGCTAAATGTATAGTTAATTATTTTATCATATTTACACTATTCTTTTGCACGTATCTTAATAACTTCTAAAGATTTCTGGAAAGATATATATCGGAGTCAATATTTCAAAAGTCAAGGTATAGTTGACGTATGAATACTTCTTTTATTGATTTATACTTAACCTTTTGTTACATCATAATGGATTGTTTAAATGTGTCAACTGTCAAGTGGGGAAAAAGTACGACTTCAATAATTTGAAGTATGATACTCTCGACACTTCAAAATATTGAAGTTACACTTTTCCTTCCTTGACAACTATATTTCGTGTTTTACCATATTGATTACGATAAATTTTTCTTGAAACTTTTAGAAATTATTAAAGAAATGTGCAATAGAATAGTGTAAATATGACAAAAATAATTAATATAAATAAATGGATCGAAAAAGACTTTCACAAGAAAAAACGAAAATATGAATCGGAGCAATCTATATGATTACAATCGGGGTATAAATATTAACGAATGATTCTGAAACAGAAACTCAGACATATCGGATTCTTACTTAATAGCCTCATATTTCTAACTAAAGAATGTATATTGATATATAATATACTGTCATAAGATAAATGTTCTATACATTCTTGTTTTCTTCTATTAGCATCTCTGAATTATCCTTGAGCAAAAGTTAACCTTTCTGTAATAGATGCATATGTATCAATTATTTCTATGAGCGCCATCTATTCAATAGATAAATATTAAAGAATAACTGAAATTTACTTTAAAGATTCTGTATCAATTTGATTGTTGAAGGCACATAACATAGTCAGAGATACAAAATAAACAAAAACGTGGACAATAAAAATAAAAGATGATTGTTATCAGCATTTATCTTAAATAGTGTTTGAAGCAAAGCAGGGTACAATGTAATTTCAGTACTTGCGCTTTTTCATGCTTGGTTTGGTAAGAATGAAAACTTATGCATTATTCGTTGAATGAATAGGTTATCAAAAATATTCAAGACTTTATTGAGAATAAAGCAACTAACATACCTCAAGAAGTCAATAATGAAAAACTAGAAGCTGAGCTAAAATTGGAATAAAGTAATATGATAGTGATAAAAAAACATGCATTACTTTTTTTTTTTTGTTCTTTCCTTAAAAATAGTATCTTTGAATAATTTATAATTATGATAAATAAATGTCATGTTCTAATTTTAAATCACTAAAAGTTCTATTAAAAATTTTAATAGAGTTTTTACATCTTTTTTCCAACTTGCTCAAGAGACATTTTCTTTAATCAAAATAAACTTGTTTTTACTTGTCTTATCTTTTTTTTTATTCACCTATTTCTTTCTTTCGTAATATTCAAATTATCGTTCTTCAATATAGAGATGAATGAATTCTATATCCTAATTTTTTAATCTGAATTGAATTATCAGATATATAGAAAAAATTAATTATAAAAGATTATACTTTACTAAATAATTCTTTCATAGTTTTTTTTTATATATTTTTCAATCAGGATCTAGAAATTAGAGTTTTAATTAAAATGATTTGATTGAAATCACCTGAAAATTCATATTTTATTATCGCATGAGTCAACACTTATTTTTATAATCGATCATAAAGATAATCATATCAAATCGATTATATTAATAATGAATAGAATTATTCATTCATGAGAAAATTTATAATAGAACTGATTAAATTCTTACTTCTTCCGTTCGATGACGATATAATTCACCATAAGTATATGGTGTAATACTTGTATCAATATCATCCTTGATATTTAAATGACTACATGATGGATCAGTTGGCACAGGCAAATATTTAAAAACATTTTCATTCTATTATTATAAAAAAAAACGATTTCTTAGTTCTTTTTTTTTGTTGCTGTTATTAAAATTCAAAATTACTTTATCAAGTAATGAATAATTTTTTCCATCAGGAATTGTTGTAAAATCATGAATATGACCCCAATTATTATTCCATGGATTAATATCAGCTGATTTATATTGATCTATTATATTGAGAAGATAAAAATTGTGTTTGTTTTTTGCATGAAAATAAATCTTACCAGCTAATTGTTGATAATTGAATGTTAAACATCCAAATTTAATATTATGTGATGCTTCAATAATTGGTTGACTTGTACATGATAAATAAACATATGTATCACGACAATCTCGAGTACGAAATTGTTGACATATTGTTGCTAATACACAATTTATTGAATCTCGAATGAAAATACTAAAACGAATTATTCTTATTTCTTTTGAAACAAAAAAAAACAAAGGCTTAAATAATTCACCTTCCGTGAACAGGACCAATAAATATTTTACAATTAATACAATCATCAATTTGTACTTGACCAGTATGATCGAATACATAGACTGTACAATTCTATTTAATGATAAAAATAAAATAAAATAAAAAAAAAAGAATCGATTTCATTTTGAATTACTCACCTCACAGTTTTGAACTAGAAAAGAAAAAAGTAATAAGACATTTATGAATTAAGTGAAGACATATTTCGAATCTTAACTTACTGATAAATTGTTGTCCATTAACTGAGCCTGGTAATCGAAAAATTGTTTGATCTTTCAATTTATCGAGAATGAAATCTTCTTTTTTAATTGCTACTCGATCAGCTCTTTCCCTAAAAAATGATACTAGGAATTGTCATGTAGAATAGATAGAGAACAATTTCTTACCATGAATAGACTGGACGTGGTGGTGGTTCTTCTACAATATCACTAGATCCTGACCAACCCAAGAAAGACGCAATATACGAAAACAGACAACCCATATCTAACAGCAAATTTCTTGGAATGGAAATGGATTTTCTTCCTACTTCTCTTCCTCTTATTTACAAAGCTATAAAGATATTTGCTTGTTCCAGATTTTATCCAAATAGTTCCATTGCTTAACCAACTTATTTCAATGCAGTATGTTGAAAAAAAATCATTTTGCATTGTCTATATTACCATGGAATTGAAAGGAATAAAAATTTTTTTAACAAACATTTGAACATGTCGCAACAAGGTGCTGCATTACAAAATTATAATAATGAATTAGTTAAATGTTCGCTTATGATATAAATTTTTTTCTTTTTCTTATTTATCCATCTCTGCTTTTTGTTTTGAATTCTATAGGTATTGAAGATTTATGTTCAAAACGTGATGAATTACAACGTCAAATTTTAATTGAAGAAGAAGATAAACATAAACTTGAAAATGAAATTCGTATAACAAGTGAAAAATTAGTTAAAATTAATGAAAGTTTAGCTAAAAAAATTACTGCAAGAACAGAATTTGATCGAACAATAAGTGAAACTGAAGCAGCATATATGAAAATTCTTGAAAGTTCACAAACATTACTCAATGTAAGATTTATTTAAATTAATTTTAATTTTTAATTTTTTTTTTTATTTAGGTACTCAAACGAGAATCACATTCACTTCGTACTAAAGTTGATGAATAGATTTATCAAAAAAACAAAAAAAAATTCTATCTATCTGTAATCCACTTTGTATACAATTTGATATAAAATGTTTCTCTTTTCTTTAACTTGATATGTATATTAAAAATAAAAATTAAATTAAGTACAAATATTTGATGATGAATAACATGATTCTCCATCTTGTGGTGTTATTTCAAGTTCAGTTAAATTAATACATAAATTATTTATTATATATTCATCAAGTTCAATTAAACAATCATTTGATAATGATATTGTTCGACTAAATAACCATAAAGTAGAATTTTTACATGGATTCGTATGTATATAATTTTCTGATACACAACTATAAATTAATGAATAATGTTCATAATCAGTTTTTAAAATACAATAAAGTCTATTAAGTGGAATTGTATCATTTATATTAACTTTTTCAAGAATCATTTTTGTACTATTATTTGCAATAATGATCCAAGGTCCAAAAGAAGAACAGTCTGTATTTAATGTTCGTGCTTTACCATGAACTAGAAGTTTCTGTATTGAAGAATTTTCTAATTGAAATGATTGATAAAAATTTCGCCAAATATCAAATTTATTATGTGATTATTCTGGTAATCATTTTATTTCATATCAAATACCAAGAAATTTATTTAAATTAAAATTTTTTTCAACAATTAAATTTTCAAATGAAGGTTTTATACAATCTAATATACCAAGGACTTTATTCAAAACAATAATATAACCAATAAATAAAAACCACTTCATTCGTAGATTTTCGCAATGTGCAAATAATAAGAACTAGACAATTTATCTCTTTATCTACAGAAATATGCTCGACGATAAGCTCTTTAAAAATAAATCATTGAAAAGGACACAAGCTCATAGAGTATTATGATTTATAGTAATACAGAATAAAATTGATATGAATACATTCAATAGTTATTGTAAAAATACTTTTTATATAAATTAGACTTATTTTTCGACTTTTGTTTATCCAGTAATACTTTGTCCTTGTCATAATTGGTGATAATTATTTGATGATACGTAAATATCTCTTGTTATTGACAAAAACATTTTCTTTTTGTTCTCTACCTTGTGTTTTTCTTCTAAAGACGTTCGTTCGATATTGTTTACCACCTACAATGAATGTGTAAAGAATGTAGAATGATTGATAATGACATATTTTGTTTTGTCTGTACTATCGAAAGAGAACACGATTTTTTGATTGCATGTTGTTTTTTTTTAATGTTTTGTAGAAATTATGAGTTATAAAATAATTTTGTCTTACATAGTATCAAATAAACAATATGTCCGATATTCTTCTCTTTAGATTACCGAAAAATTCCAAATCGCTAGCTGTTATCATTACCGAGTTATTGAGTTTATCACCATCCCTTTTCTAATTCTGGCGTGGACACTAATAACAACTCTCGAGAATATTTTCAGATAAAAAACAAAAAAAAAAATTTCTTTTTGTTATTCATGAATAATTTCAAATAGTCTTATTAGATAAGAGCTATTATATGATTCAAGTTTTAAAAAGTTGTCAACACAATCCCTGTAGGATTAAAATATGAAACACGATGCAGCTGTTGGTATTGTAAACGAGAGGATTAATCCATATATATTTTGGTTTATGAATTCTTACCTACTGTTAATACATGTCGATGATGAAAGATATTAATCGCAAGACATTATAGTGAGTGTGAAAGAAAAGTAAAAGACAATTATCATACTAATACCATTGTAGACTTTGATCTAACAATTATGTGTGTCATGGTAAAGAAGCATTGCTAAGGTGTCTATTATTGTCCCTTAATGATATCTGTCATGTCTATGACGAGCTGTTATTAAGATGTCTATCGCAATTGTGTCAAGCTGTTTCTAACCTATCTATGAAGGTCGACATTTATATCTCTATACTCCAACAGTCGTTTTAGATCGATTGATTTCGAAAAAAACAAACAAACAAAAATCTATAATATCATATAATTCTTCTTTTGAGGCATGCATCCTAGTATCTCTTTGTTATTTAAAAGACGGAATTAACTACAACGGATTAACATAAAGGAAAAAAAAACGAATAAGAAAGAAAAGCTACATACACACACACATACATGAAATACACTGCTATCAAAAGAAGAGAAAGACAAAATGTACGAGATTGCAAACCAACGCATTATATATGATGTGTATCGCACATTTAACATGAATTATAATAAAAGGAAGTATTAGATATACACATATATATATATATATATATTATATAATCATATATTAATATTATTATTTACTAGGATTAATATTCTTTTTTAATGTTTCATAGATAGGTGAAAATAATTCTTTATAATTTGTTGGTTCATAAGAAGATTTTGATTGATTATTTTCTGAAAAAACTTCATCATATAATGATACATCATATTCTGGTGGTGAATAAATATTTAATAATACTGATTTATTATTTTCATTAGAATATTTTTCTAATAATTTTCGATAATAATTTAATTCATTCTGTAAAGAATCATTATCATCACGACGTTGTCGTTCAAGTTGTATTATACGGTCTAATAAATAACGTTTATCTTGTTCAGATTGATGAAGTTGATCATTTATTTTAGCACATTCAATTGTCAATGATTTAATACGTGATTTAAGTTCACGAAGATGTGATTTAAATATGGATACGGATGAGTTATCGAATAGATTGGATGATGTGGATGAATTTAACAATGGAGATGAATTTGACGTTGACAATAAACTAAATGAATTTGAACGTTGTCGTTTAGTTGATATTGGTATTGAAAGAATCGATGTTTGACATGGAATATTTGTTTGTTTTGAAATAAAATATGATGAAAATTGTTTTACTCGAAATGTACTATATTCATGTTCAATATCATGATATTGTTTACGTGTTTTTTCATATAGATCAAATAATCTACAAATAAATATATGTTCAAGACAAAATAAAAGATTTCATTAAATTTTGAATTAATCCGAGCAAAAAGTTAGAATTCTAATTTTGACTAGACAAAAATTTTAAATTTTAAGTAGAAGAATTATTTTTTTTGTTTTTATTCGATAATATCTTCTTGTTTTATAAGACTTTTTTCTTAAAAAAAAACAAAACTTAAGAAATTAGTATGTTTGTTCTGATTGTTTATAATAAACTTATTCGACATTGTCTATTTGGACAGTTGTTGAATCCAATTCAAACAATTATTTTAATTAGATTGTAATACATACATTCATATTACTACTGTTTCATTGACACGACAGTCACGATTTCAATTTTTCTTTCAATTCTACTTTACTTTTAATATAAAGCACGAAATTTATCTCTAGTCAAATTTTAATTTTTGTTCAGACTAATGTCAACTTTAATTAAATCGAAATTCAGTATCAAAAAACATATATCTATCTACTTACTCTTTGATATGTTGTCGATTTTTTTCATTTTCTCGACGTTGTAATGAAAGTTCTTTTTCAAGATCAAAATTAGCTGCATCGAATAATTCTGTTTGTTTACATTTAGCATCAAGTTGTTCTCGAGTTGAAAGAAATTTTGCATGTAATAACTAAATATAGAAAATAAAATTAATTTTTTTGTTTTTATCTATTTTACTTTTATTTCACATTGTTTATCATCAATATCTTTTTCTAAAATATGAATATAATTTTGTAATTCATGATTACGTTCAAGTAAATATCGACCAAGTTCAGCAGCTAATCGAAGATCTATGAAGATATGAAAATTTTGAAGAAAAAAAAACAAAATAACTTTAATTAATAATATAAAAAAACCTTTTTCATAATCATCTGGATTTGATGTTGTTGCTGTAATTGAAGATGAAGAAAGACGAGTATTATTAAAATCAAGTTCTGCACCATCCATTATTGATAAGAACATTATAGACGCTTGTACATGTTGATTGACCTGAAATAAGTAGTGTTTTCGTGATAGTTCCATTGATGAAGCCATGTATATTTAAAGAGTTCAATGGTATATGTTTTAAAGAAAGGAACAAAAAAAAAAAAAGAAGACGAACAAACACTTTATATTCTTCTATTTCTATACAAAATGAATCGAGGTGATGGACTAATTAGAACAATGTAGGACAATGACCATCGAGACATGCCCAAAAAACGAGAGAGAGAGAGAGAGAGAGAGAGAGAAATTAAAAGTATTTTTCGAACAAACAAGCATATAGTCTATATTCGTTTTCTTACCTGATCTTATATGTACATGACTATAGTATGATGTGCTCTAGTTTACTATGTCTATGAAGCATACAGGCAAATATGTACATTGTTTCTCTCTCTCTCTTTTCTTTTTACTACTTGTCACTATGTGAAAAATATATGATTATATATGTGCGTTATTTCCATCAGCAAGACAAAACGCACTATTGGTGGTAAGAATAACGAAACGGATAAATAGTAGATACAATTTATCGTCATCACTGTCAGTTCGCATCATATATATAAACATCGCAGGAAAAGAAAGGAACGAAGAAAATGAAAGATAGGCTAAACAATCCCTCCTATCTATATCGTCGTTTACTTAAAGATTATACAGACTAACAGGCGTACGTATAAACAGCTGCACACGTGTAATATATAAGGTGAATCGAAAAGGTGTGTATATGCTCGAACACAACGTTTCATACAGACAACTGATCAATATCATCTTATTTTTTCTTACATTATCGTTCTCTCTCTCTTTCTCTTTTTTTGTCTTTTTTTTACATAATAACTTTTATAATGATTACTACGACTGCTTTTTTACCAATATACTTTAGTCAATGTATACGTTACTTTTGAATTATAACATCATGATCAGTTGACCTCGAACATTGCATGTGATAAGATGAAGTTATATTTATTTTTATTGTAAGTCATTGTCTTCGATCTCACACTTTTTTTCTTCTCTTATACATATGTAATTGATGAATTATTCGACATTTCTTTGTTACAAGATATATATATATATATATATACAATATTATTTATAAGTTTTTTACTGTTGACTTTTCATTTTTTTTTTCTATTCATATATGTTATTATTAGCTTTTGTAAATAAATAGAAATCTGACCATGACTTATTCAAGGAAATAACGAAGATGGGGCATACACAACATCTCATGGATAAGAGTCAACTATTTATAATCAGTACTCGATAAAACAACTTCGTGCTCATTAATTTTATAAGACCACATACTTACTCTAGAGAAATATTTTGTATTTATGAAGGAAGATAGCTAAAAAAACAAATCACATAACTTTACACTTATACTATTCTATTGCCTTGATGTATTTTATCTAAATAGTAAGCTATTTAGATTACAAAATACAAGTTAGTAAATATACGATTTTTTTATTGTCAAAAGAAAAGAAGAAAAAATGTCACTTATTCTTGTCATTACTATAATAATCAAATAACTATCGTATATTTTTACATATTGATTTGTTGTTTTTGCATAAAGAACAGAAAAACCAATATCTAGTTTTTTTTTTCATATAAAAAAATGAGAGATGAATATTAATTCGTATGACATCAGATTATTTGTTTATATGTACATTTGTTATGATAAATGTATTCATATTTTATTGTAATACATCAATCTTTCTAAAAAAAAAAAAAATTAATCTATCGAAGACAAACAAAGATTAACTTTTCATTTAAGTATAACTATAATGTCTACTATGAAAAAAAGAATTTCGATAACATGCAAATGATAGATATTCAATTCATTGTTGGATACTTGTATATTTCTAGATGAATGTAATATTTATTTTATCATCATATACTTTTTGGTTATATGCATATGGTTTCATTCAAGATATTGCATTGAAAATGTATCATTTTAATTGTAAGAAATAAATTTTTACAGATTCAGTTTGTTTATATGAAGAAATGATCTTTCCATATTATTATTTCCAATTTGTTATAGTTAGTACATATCCAAGGAGAAATTTTTTCTTTAATAATATAGCTAACAAAAATACAAACAGATCATGATAAGAGGGACGAAGGACAGGAAATTAATTATGATTCGTAATAATAACTATATCGTATAGACTAACGGCTTGATTACAAGTTATTCTATCTATAAGTTTCTTCGTTTATTGGAATACTAGATGTTGAGATGATTGGATATCATTAAAAGATGAATAATTTAGGTCTGTTACGATGTCGAGTTAAATTTCTTGTTGTTTATGGATTTTATTTATTTTCTAGTATTAATTTACGTATATAGATAGTTGAAATTTAAGATCAGAGTTATATGAATAATTATGTTGTCAATACTATTACTGTCAAATTATCGAAGATATCATATCTCGAATCAATACTTGTGCTAATTGTATTGTTAAAAATCTCTTGAATATCTCTTTGTATATTGTGCTGGTCAAAAGATCCACTTCAATCAATAATTTATTGACTTTAATATTTGTATCATCAATTTCAATTGGTCTAATCGATAATTCTATGTTATCAATATAGATGATTCATTTGATACGAATAGAAAAATTGTCCTTGAAAGTTTTGAATAATATAGATTTTTCTAGAGCAATCTTTACCTTATGATAGAGAATTATTCATAAAACATTCTTCGAAAAGATTTTATGAGATATTTGCACATCATTCAATCGTTCTTTTCAAAGGATCAAGCAATACTGACAGAATTAGAATATATTTGACGTATTCAATGTCAATATTAGTTGATATTCTACTCAGATCTGATGATATATACAACCATCGAGTATGGATAAAAATAACTAAAATGTCATATACAAATGACGGATTACATGCATGTTTAGTTAAAGGTTATTATGATCGTACTTAATGTTTTACTATTTGACTCTCATAGGACTTGATTGATTATATGAAATTATATCGTAGTGAGCATAAGTTTCTTCTAGTGAAAATATTCATTCGATGTTGTATGATTTGCCAGCATGAATACTCAAATTACTCGTACTAGTATTCGAGCAATTTGATGTATATGTATACTTTTTGTGTGCAATAACGAGTATTCATTATCGATATTTCTTTTTTAAAAATCATTTAGCAAAACATTTATGCATGATAATGTATAAAATGAGATAGAATTAATGTAATACAGAAAACTGATGGAATTTAATAAGAAAATAAGGAAAAAGTGTTATAATAATGTATTCAATTTGTTCTCTATTCTTTTCTGATAGATCATTCATAAAAATTCAATAAATGGTAAATTAAATAAAAAAGAAGAAAAAGAATTTCATGTTTAACTCTCCACTTATTGAATAAGATTAAATATTCTCATTAAAAGTAAAAGGATAATTCTTTTCATTTCACTTTCTAAATTTACATAAAAATACTCCTCTATATTAAAATACCTTTTTTTTTCAGATTGAATATAGAAATAAAAGAAATAAAATGTGTTACGTGTCGATTGCAATTTGATATTATCCAGACATATGCATTATAAAGTGTCAGAAATGCAAGAGTAAAGAAGAATTTTTTTATATACATGATTAGATAGAGCGTGATGAGCTGACCAAGAATGTATGTGTTTTCATTTTTTTGGAATAAGTTTTTAAGAGAAAAATTTCAGTTTTTTCCGATGACCTACTTTTTTTCAAATGTCAAAACTGTTTATTTCAGATTCAATGTGAAAAAATAAATATAGAAAGATTATTTATAGATAATCTTTCTATATTTATTTTTTCACGTTGAATCTGAAACAAACAGTTTTGACATTTGAAAGAAACAAAAACAATTGACAATTTTTAGTGACCCACAAGTTGACCTATTTTGCGGAGAAAGTAGGTCATCAGGAAAAACTTAAATTTTTCTCCTAAAAACCTATTCGAAAAAAAATGAAAACATATATATTCTTGGTCAACCCACCATCCTCTATCTAACCATATATTAAAAAATTCTGCTTTAGCCTCGAACTTTCGAATAATTTATTTCGTATAGTGTTTCTCAATTTCCTCAAATAATTTACCGTTTATCTAATTTTACTCATGTGGCTTTACTTTAAATACATAATTATTTACTATGACTTTATGTTCTAAAGAAAAGGAAATTGACGTCTATCCTGTATACAAAACTATGAAGATAATTTAATACCTGTAGTTCTCAAACTGGTTGTATCACTCAAATTCTCATTATATGTTTCTTTGTCTTTTGTTGTTAGTTTTATATTTGAATAAAACGGATATAGTACCGGTGCCCGACTCGGATCGCATTGGGTTATGAAAAACTCTTTGGATTTCGAAGTGGATCTACAGTCTCAACATTTTCCAGATACAGAAGGCATTTTGAATGTTGTTTCATTTGGAAGTTCTGTAAAGGAGTATGAAAACGCTTAATAGAAACAGAAGTCATGCATCGCACGCTCTTTTCTTCTACTTCACAGACTTTTCTTGAGTGACATCAGATAATGATGCATAACGAATGTACTGTCTATTTAATGGTAATACAAAGGTCACAGGTTGTATACATCAGAAAAGAAAGATAAATAAGAAAAAGTTTTATTACATACTCGTATTGTCCCAAGTACGGAATATTGGTGCAATCTCGAGGATGAAAAGAGGCTAAGGACGTATTCTTTGTTTCCAACGACGAAATGAAAAGAAAGAAAAATAATTGAGAAATTTATTTTCTCAAGAAAAAGAATAAAGTGATCGACACCAGAGTCCGATTCAAATCGGAGCGGGTCGGATCAGGTCATAAGAATTGGACCCATGTCAGACACTGTATAGTACAACAATATAAAATCGAATATATGCTTATGAGTAATTTTATATAAACCACCATAGTACACAAATACTATAAATGACTACTCACGTATGAATATTTCAACTAGAAAATCCTTTCTTCGATGTATGTCGGCTAGCATACACGTAAGAAATCTGAAAATTTATATGCATATATTCTATTAAGAATGTATATAGCTCAGAGGCATAGGCTAGCCGTTGTTATTTAAGGAATATTCTCACCTCTTTTTCGATCACTTTTGATTGTCGAAGATGGTACAACCAATCAAGCTGGAATTTTCACAGATAGTGCAACAAAAATAAGAAGATACGTTGCTAGCGTCCATAGAGGTCACTCTATTACTGCTAACTGTCTTCGTTACTTGTTATTGGTTACTTTCTTCCTCCTCTCAGTTGCTCTTGTTTGTTTCCCCTATATATTCTTACCAGTGATTATTCGCCCATTGGCATCATCTTCTTTTCTCGCATCTTTCTTTTTTTATAGTGATTCAGGTTTTATTTTACTAATAAAACCTCGTCT